AAGATGCATTATGTAAAGGTACAATTCCCAATGAGAAATGTAATTGTGTTGTATACCTACAATGTACCAATAAAAGAATTTAATACAAAAAAAAAGTAAATAGACATGTAGACATTTATACTGTATGTACACATGCTTGTTATTGTGTGTGTGTGTGTGTGTGTGTGTGTACACATACATATACAATTGTGATCTCTGTTCCCTGAGAGGGCCTCAGGGTAGCAACACTCCAGTAGCACTGAGCTTACCTAGTACCCAGATCTCGGTTATGTCAACATTATCTTCCGCTAAAAGAGACTAGGGCTTGTTGGAGAAATGGCTGATTCTAGGCCTGGGGAAGGAAAATATCCAATAAGTTAAGAACATTGTATGACTGTCAGAAAGTAATGAAGTGGGGATGTGTCAAAATGATACTGAAGTCAACTTAAAGGTGCTCCTGCTGGCCACATCAAGAAAAATATCTGAGCATCAGAAAAAGTAAAATAATGATAATAACAGATTATAGCCTATTAAGAAAAATAGGAATCTCTAAGTCCTTGATGGAAATAAATTAATAAATTGTAGGTTTATTGAGGAATAAGATATTTACATAGTCTTAAAAGAATCTCCCCACTCAAATATTTGTTAATTACAAAGGATAAAAAAGAGTCACTTTCCAATGAAGAAGCCTAGCAGATACCATTCTAATGAAGTGATGGAAGTGGATATTCTCTATAATAGGTCAAATCAAATCAAAACTGGCTCCCCGATAGGATGTAATGAGAAGAACACAGAATCACTTCTGTGATATTCTTGCCAACTGGGCATAATCTGAATTGAAGCAAAAGAAAGCACTGAAGAAATGCAAATTGATGGACATTCTGTAAAATAACTGGCCTACAATCTTCAAAACTCTACAGATTATGAAAACCAAGGAAAGACTGAGAACCTGTTCCTAACTGAAGGAAACATGACATAGAAAGGAACAAACTATTCTCCAAGGAGCTAGGTGGCACTATTACGGCAGTGTGAATCTCATGATGGTTTCAGTTTTATTATGGCTATGTAGGAAAATGTATTTTTTCTGGCATGTAGGAAACAAATATATACTAAAGTGTGTGGGATGGTGAGGAACCAGGATGGCAAATTTACTTTAAAACAATTCAGAGAATTAAAACTTTTTTGTTGTACTGTTTGCACTGTTTCTGAGTTTGAGATTATTTTCTTTAAAAAAATTGTAGTAGTGAAATCTAATCCTGGTATTTCATATACATGGCCCTGATATAGTTGAAAGTTTTCACAATTCATTATGTGAAAATAGCTATTTATATCCTGAGGAATCCTTCACCAAAATTGTACAGGTTATCTTTTATCTGTAGAATAGACACTGAGTAGCCACATCCCACCCCAACCCCAACTCTCATATTGAACACGTTATTAAAAGGATCACAAGCTGGTCTGGTGGCACAGGCCTGTAATTCCAGCACTTTAGGAGTCTGACACAGAAAGATTCAAAGTTTAAGCTCAGCCTGAGCAACTTAGTGACAAAGTGAAACCAGCTCAAATAAAAACTAAAACAAGACTGAAGATGTAGCTCAGCGCAAAGGCCATGGGCTCAATCCTCAGTATGGAAATACCTACTTTTGATGAAGCGTAACAATATCAAAATATTAAGAATTGTTTGTTTAGGAAAAAGCACAATCCTATCATTCTGGAAATGAATTTTAAATTTTTCATCAAGCATCCTTTTGAGATGTAACACAGTCAGCCTCCGCTGAGGTAGGATTTTTAGGACATTCTGTGATTTGTGAGGCCAGCCATATTTTCAAGAACATTGAAGCACATGTTTTTGATGTATTTTAATACACAAAAAAATTGCTTCTTTTTGGCTAAGACCAAGTGTAATACACAAAAGACATTGCTTGGTGGTTGAATATCCACAAGTGCAAATCTGGGACAGATGAGCTAAGTTAGTTTAATTAAAGAGATCTGGTTTTCTTCCTGGTCCTGAAGCTGACAGCAAAATGTACCCATTAAGAGAAGTACTGCTCCCAGGGAGTTCTCCAGTTTGTCTTGTTGCTGTTCTCAGTCAGGGTGGTCTCCAGTGACAGCAGTTAACGAAATGAGGCTCTCACTTTTCGGCCCTTCAAAGGCTGAGGTGGACGATGGTTGCTCAGCAGAAAAGCTGCTGCTTCCCCCTCTGATGTACACAGGAGGCTGCGGAAATTGGCCAGCTGTGGAAAAAAAAGAGCAGAATTAGTTTCAGCATGGAAAGTCACACTAATGCCAATGAATCACATACAAAAATTAAGAAACTAATAGATTGCCTCTATCGGGAACTAAAAACATTGCAATGGAAATTGTCTAAGCTATGCCTTTTACATCATAAAGAATTCTTCGCTAATTCTCATTATACAAATACTTCCTGTTCCAAAATTAAATATATAAGCATTCTTTGTTCAAAAAGCAAAGTCACAAGAGGAGACCACATTTAGAATGTGGCTTCAAGAGCACACATCTAGAAATCAGAGAATGGATTTACATCCATACATGCAGCAGACACACACACATTCACATACCAGATATGTTTTACTACAAAAATGGGTGCAATAACACATGCTGTTTTAACCTGATTTTTCCACCATATATGTGGTAGGCATTTTTGCATGTCAATAAGCATAAATTTACATGACTATTTTTGACCGCTGAAAGGCTCTATTATAAATATATTGCTCTATTTGGTATTTGTTTTGGTTGTTTTGTTTTGATGAGGACAAATTAATAAATTATTAAGGATGACAGCCTCCATCTTCTAAACCTTTTTTGTCACCTCAAAGTCAAGCAAATTTAGACTAAGACACATCAATTAGGTTTCAATCACTATCATTTACCTGAGGACCAAAATATCTCTTGTACAGTATTAACCAGAATAGAAAGTAATGGAGACCGAGCCTGGTGGCACATACCTGTAATCGCAGCACTTGGGAGTCTGAGGCAGGAGGATGGCTGTGAGTTTGAGGCCAGCCTGAGCTCCACAGTGAGTTCAAGGTCAGCCTGAACTGCACAGTGAGACCTTGTCTCAAAAAACCGAGAGAGACAGAGAGAGAGAGAGAGAGAGAGAGAGAGAGAGAGAGAGAGAGAGAGAGAGAGAGAGAGAAAGGAGGTTCTTCATAATAAATGGCAATCATTTATAGCTATGCCCTATGAAGTTAGATTTATTCATCATAAATCAGCACCTGTATTTTCACAAGTGTTATTTTGCAGTGCCTTTTTAGACTGCAGACATGGAAAGGATGATACAATGATTACAGCTTACTATTACTCATGTTTCATTAGACCATAGCTAAAACCAGCTGAAACTTAAGGAAATCTCTGGTGAAGTCCAGTAGCAGAGGCTAATAAAATCTGATTTCTGGGAAGACATCTATCCTTCTACAGAGTATGATAAGCTAAGTCGCCGTGGAGAGGCCACTCCAGGTGGCTGTGCAGGAATGCTGAGTTGTACATCAGGGTGCTAGTCCATAGATCTCACCAACCACAACTTGTCTCCGTAGTTGATAACACAGAAGACCAGATTATGACTTTATTTTACACACACACACACACACACACACACACACACACACACAGTTCAACTCCTCTGGACATTGATCAGTTTGGAACTGAATCTTAGTTCAGATCATTTTCTGACCAGCTTTCTCATTTGAGTGAGAGTCTCTAAACTTGTCCTGATTATTCATCAAACCTCTTCCCTTTAAGACTCTCCTAATTACTTGACTCAGCTGGGTAGGCCTGATACTGCCAACACCTACATAAGTCCTACTTCTTGCGACACCCGTGTCCTCCCTGACTGGTCCCTGTCAGTCATATCTCGTCACACAGGCACAGACTCATTCAGGCAGAAAATCTACCCCTCTGTCACTCAGGCTGGCACAGCATCCACAGGCTCCTGGCAGGAGTGTCCCAAGTTCAGTCTTGAGGTTGACGTAGGTAGGACTAGTTTTGCTGATTTCTTTGCCTCTAACATTGAAATTCTAATTTCCTTGTGGAATAACCCAGTAAGATGAAACATTTTTCCAAAGGTTCTGTAAATAATTTTTTGTTATGCTCAAGATCTATCATCTTGAATAGCATTCTGTTGCCTGCATACATTGAGTAATAACAAAAACAAGTTCTTTGACAGAACATAGTGCTCTAGGCACCACACTAAGTACTTTATATTACATTCTAATTATATCATTTAATCCTCAAAATAACCCTATCAGTAATGTACTATTAGCTCATTTGACACACAAAGATCTTAACGGACAGCTGAGAAGTTTCAATGAATACGTTGTCTGGAAAATAAGCCATGAACTAACTGCAAAAGCAAATTTCATTTCGATTTTCCTCATTTCCCCCTAATTTCTTTTAGTTGTAGAACAGTAAACACACACACAAATAAGGAGCAGCATAATAAACCAAATGGATCACTGAGCTTCACCTTCAACACACACCCAACTTTTCCATCCACGTTCCTACCCATTCTCACTGCCTCTTTTTCTGCCCAATCCAGATTACTTGGAAGCAAATTCTGAGCATCATGCATTTTAGCACAAACACTGCAAAATATATCTTTAAAATATATAACATTTTTAACATTTTAAGCACCCCAAATCTGTCAGCATGATTTCTGAACCTTATACCACCTGATTCCAACTAACCTTTCTAGATCTACTGTCACTTCCACATGCAGGTCCCACTTGGAGCCAGTTTTGTCCATGTTTATTACAGCATGATTCATGCTAAGGATATGAATTCAGCCTAGGTGCCTACCAACAGATGAATGGATAAAGCAAATGCAGTACATATGCACAATGGAGCATTACTCAACCATAAAAAAGAAAAAAATTATGTCATTTGCAGGAAACTGGATGGAACTGAAGATCATGTTAAGCCACTCAAAAAGACAGATACCATGGTGTTTTTTTTCCTAATATGGGGAATCTAAAAAAAAAGACATTTAAGTAAAAGGAAGACTATTTGACAAGAGGAAGGGAGTGAATGAGAGAGCATAAAGAGAGTAATAGGGGGCATGGATATTATCAGAATACATTACATGCATGTATGAAAATGTCACAATGAAACCCAATATTCTGTAATATTAATATGGACTAATACATTTCTTTACAAGGAGAATAGAATTAAAGCCAAGTACTTTGCATGTTGATTTTCAGCAGTTGAGTAAAGCAATTCAGATGACTTAGAATAACCCAAAGAGACCTGGCAAGCAAAGCTAGGCTTCAAAAGAAAATGACAAGGGTTGGGGATTTAGCTCAGTGGTACGGCCGCATGCCTCGCAAGCGCAAGCTCCTGAGTTCAATCCCGGGTACCAAAAAAAAATGACAAGCTGGGTGTGGTAGTGCACGCCTGGAATCCCAGCACTTGGGAGGCTGACATAGGAGAATCACCACAAGTTCAAGGCCAACCTGGGGTACATAGTGAGTTCAGGGCCAGACTGAACTCCACACCGAGACCCTGTCTCAAAAAAAAAAAAAAAAGACAGATATATTATTAAAAGAATTATAAAATACTCTATCTGCTCATTGGTGTGGCAGTTAAATCAAGAATTTAATATTCACTGAGTTACTCCGAGGGAGAAAAATGGATTTGAATCAAGATAAAGAAAATATAGAATCTAATTTTCCCTTTAGGTCAAACAGTGACTTGGCAAGAAATAGCAATAGAAAATCCTAGGAAAAAAAATCTGGCACCATCTTACAAGGATTTATTCTTTACATCTAGGGACATTTAATGATGAAACTGGAAAATGAATAAAAATATTTCTCAGTGACCTGAAACAAGGGCTGCCAAAATTGAGATTAAACATTATCTTTTGCAAAGTAATTCTTTAAATCAGTGATATAAAATTTTCATTTTAATTTATTTAAAAAGCTAATTTTACTAATTTGCATGGAGGTTTTTTTTGTTGTTTGTTTGTTTGGTACCGAGGATGGTACTCGCGACCTTGTGCTTGCGAGGCAGGCAGTGGAACCACTAAGCTAAATCTCTGGCCCCCTAATTTGCATGTTTTTAAAATAAACTTTTTATTTTAGAAAAATTTTACATGTACAGAATTACTGCAGATATTACACATATTTGCCTCATCCCTCACATTCAGTTTCCCTATTATTCACATCCTACATTAGTATGGTATATTTTCCATAACTAATGAACCAATATTAATAGGCTATCATTATCTGAACTCCTTTTATTCAGATTTTTTTGTTTTTACCAAGTATTCTTCTGTTTCAAGTCCCAATGCAGGAAACATTACACTTAATAATCACATCTCCTTCAGCAATTCTTGATTGTGATAGTTTCTTAGACTTATCTTGCTTTTGATGAACAATGACAGTTTGAGGAGTCCTGATTAGGTATTTTATAGAATGCTCTTTGACTGGACTTTGTCTAATGTTTTTCTCATGGTAAGGCTGGGTTTGGATTTTTAAACACTCTTCTGATTTATTTTCAACTCTTAAAATCACCATAATATTACATTATGATAATTCAAATTATTACCAAAAATCTTTGAATCTGGTTAAAAATTAAAATGTCTAAAAGGCTTCCTGATACAAGGTATTTAAATTAATATTTCAAAGTGAATTACCAATTCCACTAGAGCTCTAAAATGAAGTTCTTTTTATATACATTCCTGCATAAAAACCACATTAATAATATTCATTCAAAGAGCCTTAAATAATACACAGTATTGGCAGAGGAGCAGAGCTGCCCCTAGCCCAGAGGAGGTGAAACTTCTGGGCCACTCTACCACCACCCCCAGTGCCGAGGAGCAGAGCTGCCCCCAGTGCAGAGGAGGTAAAATCGCCAGGCCTCCATACCACCACCACCAGCACAGAGGAGGTGAGCTGTGGGGGTACCAGCAGCGCACACACACACACACACACACACACACACACACACACACACCCCTATCCCTGCCGTTGAAATGGGAAGACATGACAAAAAGTCTCAAAACCAGACTTCCAGATCACCTACAGCAACCCCAAAAGGGAAATGAGATGGAACACTCTGATACTCAACCACCCGGACTCCCAAAACTGGCAACAAAAGAGGATCTAGAAAAAATGAAATCAGAAATAATTTCTCACATATCAGCAGAGATTGTGCCCATAGCGAAAGACAATTAATAAAGCTAGAGAGGACACAGATAAAAAAATAGAGGAGCTGAGGA